CTCTCTCTCTCTCTCTCTCTCTCTCTCTCGGTACTTCTGCTCTTACACAGTCTTCACGTACACATCTTTGCATGGATTTTAAGTGGAAGCCCTCATAGTTCGCTCAGCCAGCTGCACCATATAAAGCACGAGCACTTCTTTTCTCATTTCTCCCACACCAGGCTTTCCTTAGCCATGTACCATTTTCCTTTTTCACTTTCTTCGTCTTTCTTTTTGCTCAGATAATTTACCTGTCCCGACGAGAAACAAATTAGCTTCAAATAACCTACCGTGTCTATATTATTGTATCGTCAATTTTACATTTAAATTTCTGCATTAATATTTAAGTGTTTCATGAACATATTCAACTTTGAAATCCTGTCAAGTGTTTCATATTTCATGAAAGTAAAAATAATAATAATTAATCATTTTCATATAATTAATGTTTTTCAAATAATTTTCTATTTATACATTGGTATGACAGATTATTGTAATACATGTATGTGTGTATCGACTATTTATAAACTTTTTCATTGATTGACTTAAATTTTGATTTTGAATTTTAATTTGAAAAAATTGTCTTAAACATTATATAAAATGTAACTTGCCCTTCAAAATTAATATGTATATCAGTTTATCTTGATTTATTGTTTTATTGCGGCATCTTTAGTATTATTATTTCTCAGTAAATCTGTGTGTTTTGTAAAAAAGTTTGTATACATTTAATGTGTAACGTGTACGTATCTAATTTTCCATGAGATAATTGCACTGGAAAACTTTCTCACCCTTGACATTTATAGTACAACTACGCAGTAAAACTTTAATTGTTATAAGCATTTAATGATAAAAAAGTATATTAAGGTATGCAAAAATTAGATATATTAATACTTTTTACTGATTCTACTATAAGACTTTAAGAGATTAATAGTCTTCACAAGTATTAATGGTATTTCATTAGGATAGTTACATTATTTTTAAAATTTAATTAACTTAAAATTATTATACAATTGTAAATATGTTAAATTCTCTTAATAATATGAATTTCGACAAATACGGCGCAATATATCAATATTACAAAGATGAAGCACGAGAAAACATTTACTTAAATATAAAATTTATTCCAAGTTTAAGAAACTCGATACATAATCTTATACATTCCCAGTTACATTATAGCCGCGTTTATGTTTATTCAAATATACATTAGGTTTTCAATATTTTTGTTATTCTATTTTCATATCATCAATATAAATTTGATACACTATATCGTTATTTTTTTTTTTTTTTAAATCTGTTAGGCCATTAAATTTGTTTAAAAATCATTGTAAGGCATTTTTAAGTTGATCATTAGGTGTTTGACCGAACGCAAAGAAAACTCCTATTCTTTTAAAAATTCTCATAAAATTCAGAGAAATAAATAGGGTTAACTGGTTAGGTTGAGCATAAAATCATTATTATTATAATCCTTTTGTCACAGACTTTTGACCCTCGATATGTAAAGTATAAATCTTCGTTATCGTAAATTTTAATCTCTAATTACGGTGAGGCTGCGGACGTAATATGGATAGTATATAGAACATTGAAAATTTTCAAGAGCTAAACACTAATCACAGACCGCAAGATGTTTCCACAAAGGAAATTGTCTTGCCCGTGTAATTGTAATGTAATTTGGCTATGACAGGTGAAGCGGCAAAGTGATGAAGAGTACATTAACAAGCCAGGTCAAAGATTCCTAGGTTTTGTAGCCTAGCCATGCATACGCTTTAGGTCACCGAGGAGCGAGAAATTATTTAAAATGTAAAACACGCGAAAATAAAGATGCGACTCTGCAGAGGCGCGGCTTCATTATTTCTCCGGGTATAAACAAAACAAAGAGCATTTCTCCCTCTCCCTCTCTCTCTCTCTCTCTCTCTCTCTCTCTCTCTCTCTCTGTCTTTTGTATATGCGAGTGAGCGCGCGCGCGCACGCACATCCCCCCCCCTCTCTCTCTCTCCCACTCACTCCGACATTCTTCATCTTTTCATTTTTCCACTTTCTATCCCCTTTCCATCTGTCTCATTCTTCCCGTCTTCCGGTGGCAGCTCGAGTGGCCCTCAGCTTTCAACCACTCTATCACCGGCGTTTAAAGAAGTAAAGACTGAAGGCACCTACCCTCCTCATTCTCCTCCCTTCTTTCTCTTCGTCTCGCTGATGCTTCAGCGCTCCTTATTCTCTCCTCTCCTCTCCTCTCCGCGCCACGCCGCGCCGTATCACTTGATTTTTAAGGGCCACGCGACTTTCGTCCCACGCGCTCACGCGTTTGTGCATACGTATGTGGGCGAGGCCTCGAGGAGGCCGTCCGCCACTTCCCGTGTTCCTGGCGACGTGTAAGCGCGGCACACGGACGTGAGAATTGTGCTTTATTGTTCTCAAGTGTGAAACGCGATACGGAAATGAAGTGAGTTGGCGAGGCATGAGGCGTTGACGGCGCAGGAGCGAGTCCTGATTTATCTCTTCGTTATAATCGGCGAAACGCGCCGCTTCGATCCTCATCTATTAAAGTGGCGTGCGAATGAGCTGGTAAACACTGCAGCACTGCCGCAAACAAAATTCTCATCACTGCTCGTGTGCGATCGATTCGAATCCGCCCCTTAATTTTTGTGGCACAGTGGCTATTTTACCGAAAGTACTTTGAATTTAGATAATTGTATCTCACACTCCCTATTAAGTCTGATTAGATCAACAATCTTCGATTTATCGAACCTTTCTTTTCATTAACATTTTGAAATTCAGTTTTCCATTAATAGAATATTAGACGATTATTTTTATAAATTGCACGTAATGTTGAAACAAATCAGCGTTAAATGTGCTGAGCATACGATTAAAAGGGCTTTCTATTCAGGTTCCTACATTAACAATTCATAATTCCCTTTACTTTCACACTTTTTTCACATACAATCGTAATTTGTTTATTCCATGAAGTGTACATGAATTGAGTAACTCTTCTGATTAGAATTTTCAACTCAATTATGTAATGTAACATTCAAATAGTACACAATACTGTTTTATTTTAAAATTTTTTTATTTTAAATTAATTATCGCCTGAAGGGAATTTTTTTTTTTTTTTTTTTTTAATAATAACAAGTTCGTATAGTTTAGTAGTTGAGCATTTTTCAATAGAATCAATAAATTTTACGATTCATTTGATTTAGATAGTCGTAGTAATTATTTTTAATTCCTTACAAGTCAATCATATTTATACATATAATTATGAATAGCAACTTAAATATCAAATAGTTTAACATAATACTTAAACAAAATTCCTTTTAAATATGTACTGCTGGATTTTGAATTCAAAGAGTGGCATTCATCAAGCATCTATTTTATTCTAATAAATACCAAATCAATTTTAATCGATATCTCGAGTCTACGGACTTCCGGGCCTTTAGTACAATTTTTTAATATAAATTCTTATAACATTTATATACATTGAAAGCAACTATTATCTAATAAATTTCAATTTTTTAAAAACCCTATAGTTACTCTCGTATATTAAATCGTAGCGTTAATAACTCTGCTTTTTATCTAACTTGGCTGAGATTATTCATCCCAACACATACTTACGACCATATGTTCGCGTCAACATCGCAATGCTAAAAAATCATTAGAGATTGAAATTGAAATGCAATGATATGGACATAGTCGAGGGATTGTGCCTTTACATGAAATGGAAGTTTATAGAAAAGTCAGTAGTACGATAAAAATATATTACAGACTGTATTAAGAAATTTTGTTATAGACTATAATAAGCTCGTCATATGTTATTGTCTACATCAAGCGATGTAATATGAATTAAAGACAAGGACGCGTGTCTATTTAAGAAGCGGAAAAAGTTTAAGCAGCCATCAATGGTATTTCAAAACAAAAAAACTTTTCGTGTTTGTTATGTCATGGATATTGAGCTTTGGTAGGTATGCGAAGATAATTCCTCGGTAGCTGAAATATTATATAAAAGTAGACGAAAATTTTAAATCTCGTCGAATTGTTTAAAAATTCCGAAGTCTTTGAGTAGATATAAAATAGATATTATAAAGTATTTGAATGTCTGTAGAGCCACCAGTAATAAACTAAATGTACATAAAAGTAAAAGCGAATTGAGTACATGAAAGATTGCTACTATCAATACCAAGTAGATTGTATGTTATCTATTTTTATAGCATAAACTTTATGGAAACTTCCGTCGTTATAAAATCTAAATAAAGCTCAGGCTACATCCTAATGATATTATTTTCTTCAATACTGATAAAATACATTTAAGTATTGAAATATCGTAATAAGGAGATGTGACACATGATTGGCTGGTGGATGTCGAAGACATTCTAATAATATTCCATAAATTACCCTTTATCGGCATCCTACCAAGCCTAACAATTTTTTATTTTTCACCATGCATCAGGTTCGCAGATATTTTTTGTTGATTTTTTCTCTTCTACTAAAATTTTATTTTGCTATTGAAATTACTTAAATGTTGTTTCGTTAGACCATAAGTTGGAGAATATCTTTAGGCATTATCCTATCGACTTAGATATAGAGTTTCAATCAAAATTAAAAATCGCTAATTATTAGTAGTAGTAGTAATAATAAGAAGAAATTAAGAAATTGTAAATACTACAAAATAAGTATTTGTTATTTTGCAATTTTAAAGTATTGTCAATATTAAATGAACAAAGCTAATAATGAAATTATAGACGGGCCATAAGCGGCAATTTATTAATTTTACTCTTAATTAACCGGACGAATGAGTCATTCGGAATCACAAATTTACGGCATCTTCGATTCAAGGATTGTTAACTTAGTACGATTGCTGCCACCAGATGGCCATTATAACCTGCGAAAACTGAGGCTAGAAATCATCGTGTAATTTACGTGGCCGCAATGTTATTCGGCTTGGAGCCATCTGCCGTTGATATCGCAAAGTATCGATTAATACGGATAAATTGCACGAATGACGTTCGAGTTAATTTTGAAAATTCTCCATGACAGTATATAAAGTAATTAGTTCCTGAGTGCACGAAGCTTTTGTTAAACCAGGCAATTCCAAGACGGTGTTTGGAGTTTAGGAAATTGTAGTATTCTTTGATAGAATCTTATGAGATTTGAAGGAAATTATAACAAATGCGTGTAGTATATTATAGTGTTTGTTGATATATAGGATTAATTTGTAAACAAAAAATATCACGCTCTAGTTTAGTGATAGATTGATATACTTGGTTATGTCACCAGATTTCACTGTGTTTACGGATTAAGTAAGAGGAACGCGCAGAGTACCGTTGTACTCTACTGTGTAGAATTGAAAAAATTCGTCGGGTTAACCTTAGCGCGGCCTTAGTCCCATTGGCCTGCATTAACGCTTGGTGCTGAGGTAGTTGCATAACTATTTTATGCGTGTGTTTGACGTTTATGGGTTTGACGTACGTTGAATATTGTGCTCCGAAAGGGGTACCTTTGTTACCAACATTTCCTACGTTATAGAATGAATATCAAGGAAAAGGAGAAATATATAGAAGAATTTGATTTTCCATATTGCGATGAGTCTTCGAAGTATGAAAAGGTTGCAAAAATTGGACAGGGTACCTTCGGGTAAGCTTTATATAAATATTTTAAAAGTTCTATTATGGCACAGTGTAAAGTGTTTCTATTTTTATTCATGTGAGTGCATTTTATTATTGGTTAATCTAGGGAAGTATTCAAGGCCAGAGATAGAACTAATAACAAAAGGTTCGTAGCTATGAAAAAAGTTCTCATGGACAATGAGAAAGAAGGTGTAAGTGTTTATTTATAAAGCGGTTCTAATGCTAATTTCAATATAAATTAATGGCGTTTGTATTTTTACAGTTTCCAATAACAGCGTTGCGTGAAATTAGAATATTACAACTTTTACAAAATGAAAATATTGTTAATTTAATAGAGATCTGCAGAACAAAGGGTATTTCATGAGTTTAGATATAGCTAATCTAGTCTAATATCTGGAAATTGTCATTGATAACGTTCTGCCTTTCTATTTACAGCGAATCAATATAATAGGTATCGTTCGACGTTCTATTTGGTATTTGACTTTTGCGAGCACGATCTTGCCGGTCTATTGTCAAATGTGAATGTAAAATTTAGTTTAGGAGAAATCAAAAAAGTAATGCAACAACTATTGAATGGACTGTATTATATTCACAGTAATAAGGTCAGTATACTAATGATATTATGTTTAAATATGAATTGTCTGATTAATAGTCTAGTATATGTTTTAGATTTTGCATAGGGATATGAAAGCAGCAAATGTACTGATAACGAAAAATGGTATATTAAAGCTTGCGGATTTTGGTCTTGCAAGAGCATTTAGTGCAAATAAAAATGGCCAAGCTAATCGTTACACAAATCGAGTAGTAACTCTATGGTACAGGCCGCCAGAGTTACTATTAGGTGATAGAAATTATGGACCGCCGGTTGATTTATGGGGTGCTGGCTGTATTATGGCTGAAATGTGGACAAGGTATGTAAAATTAAGTAATTTTCATCTTTACATTAATTTCTTTTATAACAAACAGTGATTACAAAATATGGCAATGCCTAGGTCCCCAATTATGCAAGGGAATACGGAACAGCAACAACTCACATTAATATCGCAGCTGTGTGGTTCTCTTACCCCTGATGTTTGGCCAGGCGTAGAATCCCTAGAACTATTTAATAAAATGGAACTAATCCAAGGACAAAAACGAAAGGTATGGGACAATATCAATTTTTGCTCCGCCATTTTGTCATCGACATCCGATAGCAATCGTTTCTACGTGTTCTAGGTGAAAGACAGACTTAGGCCTTATGTTAAGGATCAATATGCTTGTGACTTGTTAGACAAGTTACTGATTCTTGATCCGAGCAAAAGGTTTGATTCAGACTCTGCATTGAATCATGATTTCTTTTGGACCGATCCAATGCCCTGTGATCTCAGTAAAATGTTAGCCCAACATTCGCAAAGTATGTTTGAATACTTAGCCCCACCAAGAAGGCCAGGGCACATGCGACATCCTCATCATCAAGTACCTGGTGGACAAGCAAAGCCAAGTTCTAGTATGGCAGATACTAGTTATCAAGATCGAGTTTTCTAGCACAATCATTGTAATAGCCAACGAACTCATACTACGTTCAAGAGTGTCTACAATAATCGAATAAGATTAAAACTCAATTAATTTATCTGTGCGATAAAGTGAATCGATTTTTTTATTTATAAAATATACTTTTGTAATTAAAATGTTTACCATTTTATAAGTTTTCCAATGAATAATTATTTTATGTCTACTGGACAACTATTCAGTGCATTATACAAAGACTACAATAGTCAAAATATTTAAGTTAAATTATGTGTATAGTATGAACAATACATTTTTATACAATAAATTGTTGATAATAAAATTCTATATAAAACAATTTTATTTATCTAAAACCAGACATTTTTTCGAGCACTAGATAAGCCTATTGAAATTAGGCCATTTAAAAGGGATTATAAAGATTATATAATGAGGATTATAGAAAAATATTTGTAAAACGATTTATTATATCACACTATTTTTCTAAATAAAGTTAGACAAAAATAATGTTGATATCCCCTTATATATCTAATTTATATTATTAAACTTCGCTGCTGTAATTCATTATGTATATGCTATTGATCTTTCAAAGGAACTGATAATTAATATTCATAATGCATTTTTATTCTGTAGAATTAATATAAAAGTTAATTTCATTATGTTCATATATGCACATGCATACGTGGGTATTTCAATTTTTAATTATGTATAAACATTGTATTAGAAATTCGAAACATTTAATTGTTATAATTTATTTTCTTAATCTAACACGTTCATAATAATTCTATTATAATTTTATAAAAAACAGTTGCATAGTTTAAAAATTATTTATTAATCATAAATTTCATTTATTCGATGGGGAACAATATTTGGAAACAATTGAAACGAGAATAAGTCTTTTGTGATTAGATTTTGTATGAATAAGTAATATTCTTTGGTTAAATAAATTATAAAGTTGTGATTCAAGAAAAAAAAAAAAAAAATTGACAATATGATATTGAGTTTAATGAAAGGCAAAATTAATATATGTCTATGGGCTTCTTATACATAAATTATTCATTTATTTATAAAATTTCAGTACAATCGAAGATTATTTATTATCAGAGAAGAATAAAGAAATAATGAAACTCGGTTAGTACTCAGTTTTTTTTTTATTTTAAATTTAATTGATAGTACTATTTTCGAGATAATTGAAGGCTAAATTTTACGAAATCTTTTCTCATAATTGCAATAATGACGATATTGTGAAAAAAGTAGAAAAAACAATGATTGCTTCATTTAATTAGATATTAATAATTATATATTAATATAGTTTTTGAAATATTCTTTTCAATATCATTACGATATAATCGCAAGTGTCTCATTTACTTTCTACAAATAAAGTGAAATAATAAAATTTTTTTTAATCATTGGACTATATAAATTATTGTAGTAATTAGAAAATCTGCACATTAACGATCAAATCGTAAATATAAAATTAAACTGAATTCTTCACTATATTTCATAGAAATTCTTATAGAAATCATTAGCTTCAACATTTAATAATGTATATTCCTAATGAGTTAATAACAGTTTATTAATCACTAAAAGCCTTAATTACAAATGGACAATATATTCGTATATAACGTTTATATTAAACATTATTTAATCATTATAAATAGAAGTAAGAATTATTACTAAAAACATTAATGTATATTATATCCATTCTATATGTTTTTACAGGATTAACAACAATTGTAGGAAAAAACTTGGAACTTCATTTCTAATAACTTGTAGATATCTTGTAGAAAGAAGAAAAGCTACGATATTTATTACCTTATTGTTACGTACAATAAATAAACAATTTACTTTTGTCTTATATTATTCTATTATTTGTCGTTTAATTCGGCCATTTGTATTTTGTAATTTTATTCGAGAAAATAGTTACTTTTTGCCCCTTTATAAACGTTCAAGTATAAAGTTTTTGACATTGGGAATGAACTTTTACTCTCATCTGAATATTAATGGCTTAAACATTTTCTCGCTTTCAAAGATTTTTGTTTTAACTTTTAATTATTGAGTTAATCATGTACATGTTATTTACGAATGTGAGGTAGCGCATCAAGTTAAAATCCTTATTGTAAGCTTCAAATTGTTTATAATTTTTGCCTTTACCTAAGATTGTTTTTTCAGTACAGTTTTAGTTATTGTAATAATACGGAATCGATAAAGTTCAACGGATTACTCGTATTGCTGATGTATGATTGATTTGAGAATCGAAAAAATTTTCCGTAATAGTAAATGTTATTTTATAAAATAAATGAATTTTATGATTATCATATTTTAAATTGCTAATTGCGAATGAACATATTAATTGGCTGTTTAAGCATTTAAGTTTTTAAATATATTCAATAATTTATGGTTGTATAAAATTTTTTTTTTTTTTTTGTGGAATCAATGAATCACTTTACAATATAATAATGATATTGTTTTTTTCTTTTTTAAGTTTTCCCACTTAAATAGTACTATGATTTCTAAGGTCCCTTGAAAAAATTTCTCCGAACAATTAAATTATTATGGATCTTATTCCATATTCCTGCCGAGTTACCATCATAAAAATTCTCTCTCTCTCTCTCTCTCTCTCTATCTATCTATCTATCTATCTATCTATCTATCTATCTATCTATCTTTCTTTATATCTTTTGTTTGTTAATGAGACGTCAATTATATATGATGAGATGAGGAATTTTCATAAGAAATAAAAATATAAAATCCTTTTGTGTTAAGCGTTATTGTCATTTGTTCGTTAAGTAAAGAAAGCTTGGGAAATTTGTTATTTAATGTGTTATTGATTAAATAGTAAACTCAATAAGTCAAAATAGAAAATATTACTTACAAGTATTAATTAGAGCAAAGCAATGGTTAAATTATTTATATTTTTATATTATGATAATCTATATAATTTTCATTCCAATTTTATTTTAATACAAAAAGACCTTTCTTTTGACCTAAAGACCTAATCTTTTCAATACCGGTACCTATTTCTCGAAATACAATGAAATTCCATGAATTACCAATTGCCAAGAAAATACCATAAGCAGTCGAATGAATCTAGCGTTTGATTTTTAAAAAGAAAAATATTTGTAAATCTTGTTTTCGGAAATCCGGAAGGAGTATGCCAAACACATTCTAAGTTACTAATTATGTATTGAAGCATATTTTAACAAATTCAATTATAATCAATTTTATAAAGTATTTTTTTTTTTTTTTTTTTTTTTTTTTTTTTTTTTTTTTTTTTGAAATCAATTTTAATTGAAACATACATCATATCTTTGTATTTATAGCCAATATTTTTCGATGATTTACCAAATGTCAATAAAGTTTCAGGACATTGATGAATTTAATCAATAGAAATTTAATTTATGGCATATGTTAGTTGCCTACATATTTTTATACATATTAGTCAATTATTTATGGATTTACTCGTATAATGATGCGTCGCAATGAGGTATTTTCTTTACTTTTCTTCGCGATATAATTAAAGCAAATTGCCCACTGACAAGAAAATTTCGACTGGCCTGTCATTTTATGAATATACTTGAAAATCTCAGACTGATGTTCTCAAAGATACTAGAAGATTTTCAAATATGAAATCTACATTTGCTGATTATATCAAATTTATTACTTATACTATCGATTATATAATCTTGAATGTGCGATGAATGTGAGTTTATTTTCCGGTAGATTTACATTTTTTACGTCAAGATTTACAATGAAAATAGGTACATAGGTTTAAAGATAAATGTCGACAATTTGAAATGTTTTATTAAAATCACCGGCTATCGTGATACGCCATGTTATGTCTCTTTCTACATATTTCAATGTATAATAATGCATATGGAAAGCTTATATAGATAGGGTTGTAAATTTATTTGTAAGAACATATGTTCAATTATTATTGATAATGTCTTTTATCCAGTTTATATAAGATGATACTTTGGTGTACACCGAGGGAGTACAACCGGAACATGGAACGGTACCCCAAGAAGTTATTCCAATAACTTGATTATTGGCTATTAATGGTCCGCCGGAATCACCCTGAAAAATAATGTTTCAGAACTAATTATTTCAAACAAATAATTTATATTATGCCAGTAATTGCATCAAAATCAATATCTATCTTTAATGTTTTACGCACGTGCCCGTATACATGCAAAATGAATGGATGTGCTAGCTGTATGTGTGTGTACGCGTGTCTTTTAAAATTCGTAAAATTAGACAGATTTTTAACAGTTCGGTAGAAATATTTTTTGTATACATTTATACATATATGTACAAAAATAAAATAAAACTTTCAACATTGTTAATTACAAAGAAATAATGATGCTCGTAAAATTTCATAACAAGATAGATTGTAATAGAAAATGATAATTTACCCTACAGCACAATGTATCCGAGATGAAAATTTATAAAAACTGTATCCTATCAAAAAATAAATTTTGAATAGCTCATTTAATTGAAATTAATTCAATTAAAATAAATTAACATATATATATATATTGCTCAAGAGATCAGCATCAAGAGAGAGAGAGAGAGAGAGAGAGAGAGAGTGAGAGAGAGAGAGAGAGCTATATCACTATGAAAAAATATCCAATACTTTCAAGCAATAATTAAATACGTGAAAAAGTTTAAGCGCTCTAGTTATCTCTAAGTAACAAACAAAAAAATAAAAAAAAACAACAAAAAGGCAATCTTTTGAAATGCCAAGCATACACAAACGGAAAGGTAATCGCAACAGTCTTAAGGCCAGCTGCGACGCGTACCTCCTCCACGTCCTATTTTCCGTTAGCATTGGAACTTATCCGGTTGATTCTACTCAATGGTAATTAATTTCTAAAGCCCTTTGGATTTCCATGTCACGTGCAACGCCTAGACCAGTACCCGGACTCCAAAAGCCCCAATTATCAGCGCGCGATCCCATTGTGCCAATCTTAAATCCCTCGGCGACGCAATTCGACGCGAGGGACTTACGTTACAGGAGGACAGGAGTCCGCGTCCCGGTCCCGTGCAGATGTTGTCAGCGCTGAGCTCGAACGGCGAGTTCGGATCGACGACCGTGAGCATCCTCCTACACTGCTGGAGGTCGATCAGGGGCATCCGGGCGGTCTGCAAGTAACTGGGTAGGATCCGCTTCTTCGTTCTGGAAATTGAGCCCCAGCCGGACAGAACGGCGCTTTCTGATGGCTCGCTGCCTTCGGATGGCAACTCGATTTCACGTACATACTCGTTGAACCTCAAAGGACTCGCGAGCTCCAGCAAGGCTATGTCGTACGGTTTCACGGGCCTGTTGGCAATTTGCCGATTATGCGCTTTTATCCTCGGAGTTTGCCGAGCTTCTCGGGCCTTTTGTGTCAAATGTTTTATGAAAACGGGGGTTGGCTGGGACACGTAGTTATTTATTGTTTGACTGGACTATGTGTAAGAAGGGGTTGGCATTTCACGAATACGAAGCGCTCGCGATATGAGTTTGAAAGCGTACATTGCTAAACACGCGTCATGGAGGATTTTCTTTATAATCTCTTCGTCCCGACATCTTGTCAATATCGATCTATCGTTAATTCGAGTTAATTGAAAATTCGTCGGTCTATTTAATTTTACATTTGCATTTAAGTGGCTCGAATTTCAGAATGAAAAACCTATTCCCATAATACGGCACTCCAATATAATTTAATAATCAAAATTGCATTTATCCAAAGTTTTACTTACTTAATATTGGCTCGAAACTACAATCCCTGATCTATCATATTTACAGGGTACACTATTGAAAACTAAGTACCATTGATACCGATCCTTGTTACCTTTTTTTAATTTCAACTTATCCTAATCGTTTGATGGTAGTTGAAACTTTAAAAATGCCATAATGGCGCTTTGTATCTATCGAATAGCTCGAGAACTTTTGCAAAAAAAAAAAAAAAAAAAAATGTATTTAAATTAGCAATATGGTTTGCCACGATTAACATTAATTAATTATAAATTACAGATATACGACATGAGAAACTTTTACCCCGAATAAAATTCATGCACAAACATATTTTCTACACGTCGTGTTTGCTCGGTAACTTCGGATTCCTTGATGTTGTACTTTCCTGCTTTTACCACAATATTATTATCGATTGCGCAATGAGCAGCTGTTAAAATCCACTTCCTTCCAATAATAGCTCCACCGCAAATGTGCCTTGATCGAATTTGCAAGGACACTTGATGGGGAAATTCACCTGCGTGGGCTGCTCTGCCCCCGACAATTCGGTTTACCGATTCCTTATCTTCATTTGTTTGACCTAATTGTGAAAATCATATACGTTATAGCAATTTATTATGTGAAGCTCGAATTTCACGTATACCTACTTACCTTCAATTGTAAATATTTTATTATCATTATTATTACATTAACGAATTAAAGTATTATTAAGTTTACTCATCCATGCTATGTCTATGTATATATATATATATATATATATATATATATTTGTTTTTGTTTTTTGTTTGTTTTATATATAGATTAACTGTTGGAAACTACCGCTACTTTCATTACTTTTTGCCTAATAATTGAAGTAAAGAATATCTTTATTAATCATTTACTTGACTAAACGATAGATCATATATAATTTCTTAGCTATTGCAATTATTAATCCAGTCTACTAATCAATATTTAATTTTTATTCGTTTAATCAATCACAAGCAAGGAAATAATTGTTAAAATATTTTCAATAGTTAATGCTAATAATTAATATGACACGCTTAACGTGCTACATTTACAATTTCTCATCAAAATTATTTCATATTAAGACATTAAGATATTAGTTAATTAATGCTAATTGATTAATCAATGTAATATATCTTCTCACCCTCTATCAATATGCTTTACAATAATTATGATAATAAATTATTTAATGAATAATTTTCTCGTGCCTTTATTTGGTATCAATTGTAAATTTGACATTCATAACGACAATGACAATTATAATTGTACCATAAATAATAAATATAATTTAACACGGTGAAAGTTTTTTTAAATCCTCCTCTTAATTACTATTTACTATTTAAAATTCAAATAATATAGAAACATAATAAAATATATTTGTAAATATGTTTAATTCTTAGTAATTAATTATAACACATAATATTTTGAACACAAAAATTCGAATAAAATTAATAGTTAATTCATTTATCCATTCTTATTTAATGAATATTAAATAATGATGACATAAATTTTTATACACTATGCGTACAGTAATTATTGAATATTTTTATTTCACTGATTGATTACATACCGTTCAAACATTTCAGAAAATTATAAAATAAAATGACCAACAGAGTAACTTTTGATGAAAATAGATGCGAAAATTTCATCTTCCTTAATTTGTGTTCTAAAATTGGTGTATATTAATCAAATATAATGTACAGTCGCCGTTTATGCCTTTACAAACAAATAAACAACACTCAACTATATCACTTGTGCATCCACTCTTCGCTAAGATCTGATACGCAAATACCGTAATTCTTTGATTGGTCCGAAAAATTTTCTTGCATTAGATGGAGTTGCGTAGTATAAAATAACTTATACTTACGCGAAGGACAACGGATATAACAATTAACAGTCGTTCGATGTAAGAGTTCAACAAATTTTTTTATATACCCTATCCTGAATTAATGGAAACTTTGTTTTTTTTTTTTTTTTTTTTTTTGGTTTATTACACGCGACAAAACATTGAAAATATGCAAAACATAAAAAGTTTCTTTTCTCAGTATATGATAAGGTGAGCAATATTTTTGAAGTAGTTTGCCACTTGATTAGTTATCAAATCATTGCAATAAAAATGAGTTTTATTATGAAATGTATTTCATTATTGCTTAACCATAGTTTTTTCAAAACTTATGCAATTTACGTATCTCATTCTAGTACATAGCAATTATAATATTAAGGGGGTAAGCAATAGCGACAGGAATTGTGCCATTTACTGTTAAGGATCGTTCGATAATAATCACATCCTTTAGAAAGTAATTCAAAATTTGCAATAATATTTTATATAAATTTTTTATACTGTGAATGACATATAGCATATTGTGTAGAATATATTTTTACTAAATTATATTAATTTGCGAGTAGAAATTAATTTAAAATTGTGGAAATGGTAAGTTGAATATAGTTGTATTCATTTGATAAATGTACTCTATAGATAATTCGATTATTCAAAAAAATTTTAACTTATATTTAAGGATGAATTTTCTAATTTTTTTTTTTTTTTTTTCTTTTTTAGATTAATGTGATTTAATAAATTCATGAATAATAACGATACAATTCCATATTATTAACTTCAATTTTATTTTAATAATAAAATATACAAATGCAAATTTTCGTCGCATATACATAATATGATAATATACAACTGGTTTTGCAATTATTAAAAGAAGTCCGCTGTTATGTGTAAATTAGCATGAATACATCGATTTAAAAGATATTGTTTTTTTTATTTATTGTTGTAAACACTAAATATATAAATATTAATAGTTATTAATATTTCATAATTCGACAAAAAAAAAAGTAATAACAATAATATAATAGTTAATTATTAATTATTGATTGTTTTAAATAATAAATATTTATTCATGGACCATTGACTATTTTTTTCATTTTATGCGAGTAAATGTATTTTATTACCTTGAATAAGACAATACTATTTTTATATATTGTAGAAATAAAATGAAAAGTGCTTTTAAAAATTTAGAGAAATAATTAAATTAATTACAAAGTGTTGGGAATAATAATATTAAATAAATTTATATTGTCTACTGGATATGATGTTGGATAGTAAATATTATATGACATTAATTATTGATATTTACACAAACATATTAAAAGATATATGTAATATGATAAAAAAAAAAAAAAAAAAAAAAAAAAAAAAAAAAAAAAAGGAAAAATAGAGGTAAAAACCATCGAATCAAAATGTTATTACTATCAATACATATTCATAATTAATGCAAAAATTGCTATTCAGCTCAATTTAACGAATTAAATTATTAATAACTTTAATTGATATATAGTTAGGAGAATGTCGTTATTATATTACTTTAAAATATTAATAGAAATTTTTCTTTAAACATTATATAATTATTATTATTACGATGTCAGAAAGCAAGAAATATATATATATATAAAAAAAAAAAAAAAAAAGAGATTCTTGTAAAATAAATAATTTTTCATCATCTTTCTTACGAATTATATTCCAAGAAGCTAAAATTTTATAGATAATATTACATTCTAGTTAACAAAAATACTAGAATCAATAAAATTAATACTATCAACGTAAATCTAGAGTAAGAACATCAAAGTAAAATATTTTGATTTTTTGTACTCATAAATTTGTGCAACATCGAAAAACTTAATTAATTACCACTAGATTTATTTAATAAAAACACTTTAAATAGAACAAAATAAATACATCGTATTTTGATCAGAAAAGGAGATTCTAAGCTTGATTTTTCATAAGTACTTTTAAACTAATAAAATCGTGAATTATTCAATAATAAATTGGTTTTATTTTTGAAAAATCCAAAATTACGTATCATGGGTACAAGATTAATCTAATAATATACAAAGTTTAAATTTATTATTTATTCGGCACTTTGTAAGCAATTCAATAAAAACTATCCAAAATCTTTTACTTTCTCAAATCATATCCGAATAGATCATCAGCTATTTTATAAATAACTTTGTACAGTTCTAAATTTATTCGCTACGCAAATTATAATGATCGATCGTAATTAAGTATAAATTACCTAGCCATGAGAAAGTACCGACAGTCAACTTACTACACGCGTACCTACTAAGTAAGGCACCCTGGAATAAATAATTTAGTAAGATCAAGTAAATATCTCTTATGGCAGAATTAAGTTAACGTCATTTTAATTTAGCAGTCATAGTGATAGTACAGCGAAGAAATAGAAAAAAAAAAATACTTTCTATACTCATCTTACAGCTATACTACAATTCATTGTATAACTATATCAGTACGTTTAAGATACATTCACTTGAATCCAGCTAAACTTTATTCAATGCGTGTTGGGACTTCGAAACCTAAATGCACAATTCTATTCTCTAAGGGGCAGTAAATTGGGCCGACACGTGACATTGCTGCATCTAGTAAGTTCGCTCGTGGAACTCGCTGTCGACAAGTTTACTGACGCTTGGTCTTGGCACCTGGTGCGCCGACTGGCTGGGTAGCGGCTGCTGTTGCTGATGATGCTGCTGCTGTTGCTGTTGCTGTTGCTGTTGCTGCTGCTGCTGCTGCTGCTGGAAGTGCCGCATAACGTGACCGGAGCGCCGATGCGGCGTCAGAAATTCAAACATGCTCTGATTGTGTTGGGCAAGCATTTTGGTTAGATCGCAAGGCATCGGATCGGTCCAAAAAAAGTCATGGTTCAAGGCGGCGTCGGAGTCGATGCGCTTGCTAGGGTCGAGAGTCAGTAATTTGTCCAGCAGATCGCACGCATACGGATCCTTTATGTACGGTTTCAGTCGCTCGATTACCTATATTAATATGAACACAAAATATATTGTTTCTATTTATTAATTATAATTCATTGTTATACTCGAGATTATGCCTTAAATCACATGGTTATTATAATAGAACGTAACGTTGGCATTTCTCCTATCACACGCTCAACGCTACATTCTACGGTCTAATTTCTTTAATAATGTACTGTATAATTTACTCATACATTCTTTATTACATGTATAATGACTTTTTTAACATATAAGTTATAATGACAAATTGTCATACAAAACGTACTTTTCTTTTTTGATGTTTAACCAACTCCACCTTATTGAACATTTCTAATGATTCAACACCAGGCCATACTTCAGGTGTTATAGAGCCGCAAAGCTGCGAAATGAGCGTCAATTGCATTTGTTCTGTACTGCCTTGCATAATTGGTGATCTATAATATAATATACTTTTTCAACAAAAATGTATAATAACGTAAATGTATAGAATC